TATGACGTCATTACCTTAGATGTGAAGTGGGAAGATATTTTACGGCAAATGTCACCTTGTTGTGTTCTGACAGTCTTCTGCGTATGACAAATCACATTGATAGATACAGTAGATAGATAGATAGATAGATGGATAATCTTCATTTATCCACGGTACAAAAGCTTTAAAAATGCCTAATACTAATATAATAAAAATATTTAAATAACAAAGCTAATTTCCACGAATGCCGTGCCTTACAGTTCTTTGAGTAATCGTTTAAATTGCCCAAGGGACTCTGCTTCCCTTCAAAGGAATCTGAGAGATTTTTTTTTTATGATAATTATAGTTTACTTTCCTAATTATGACTATCCTATTTGTGATCCTTGACTCCCTTATTTAGTCTCTGAAGCACTGGGGCCAAACCATGGTCCTTAGGTAGAACCTTTCTGAGGATGTAAGCTGTTCCCAAAAGAGTAATTTTTTGGAGCCCGCTGATGATGGCTGTGCCTGGAATTTTGTCAATGTGTTTTTCGAGTCCCTTCTTAATGACCCAAGTGCACCAATAACAACCGGTATCGTCTCTGTTTCCATTTTCCACATTCTGGCGATTTCAATCTCTAAGTCCTTGTACTTAGAGAGTTTCTCGACTACCTTAACCCATGTATTTCTGTCCGATGGAACTGCCATATCTATAATCCAGCATCTCTGATTCGTGTGATCTCTAATTATGTTACATCTGGTTTGTTGGCTCTTATTTCTCTGTCAGAGTGGATTGGCATATTCTACAGAATTGTCGCTTTTTCATTTTCTACAACAGTTTCTGGTTTGTGTTCATACCATTTCACTGCAGATGTCATGATTTTATAATTCTGGTACACCTTCCAATGGATATATAATGCTGCGTTATCATGTCTTTGAATGCATTCAGAACTCGCCAGTTCTGAGCATCCAGATATGACATGATCAACAAAGTCGTCAAACTTGCCACACACTCTACACAATGGGTTAGTGCCATCTTTGATGATGTTGCTATGGTAGAACCTTGTTGCCAGGCTTTTATCCTGTGCGGCAATGATCCGCCCCTCAATTTCCGCTTTTAAATTAAGCCACTATTCGTTAACCAACGGTTAGTTCTTAGGAGTTAGGAGGTGTACATCTACATCTTGCATTATTTTGGGGTGTTTCCCAGTAAGTGCCTTGTCTTTCCACCGTGTGCAGATAGTTTTTCCTTAGCTTGTTCTCTTGCCGCCTTCTTCTTCTTCTTCTTCTTCTTCTTCTTCTTCTTCTTCTTCTTCTTCTTCTTCTTCTTCTTCTTCCTCTTC